TAATCACTGAATTCTGTACAGAATTGAGTGAGAAATAGCTATTTTTTTGTTTTGTTTACTTTTGTGACAAAAAATGATGAATCATCAAGTGTGACAATACTTATGAAAAGGGCAGTAATTATTAAAGATCTAGACTTACTAATGTATCTTTTAGAAGTAAAGAGAAAGAGATTACTAATATAGAGAGTCAAATGAAATAGTTAGTTTAATTGTGTAGAAAAGATTATTATATCTATACTTTACTCTACTTAAGGTCTTCTTAGTATAACTAACTGTGTAGTAGCTTAGTAATTCTCACCTTCATCTGTTCTAGTCTACTTATTATTTTCTTCTATTACTTGTACTTGTTCTGTAAACATAATATTTAACCTGTGTTTTATATACACTAATTTCTGTGTTAAGAAGTGTATATAGTAAGAGTAATTATAGTATTTAAAATTGTAATACAAGGGATCTAATTAGTACACATATTAGTACTAAGAGTGTATATACAATGAAACCTGTCAATAAGCATACTTGTAGTTTAGCATTTCCTCTCAATAAGTATGAAAAATTTGATCCACTAAGTTGGTAGGTAGGAGAATAGAGGTATATTAAGTATAAAGGGTATTAAGTATTAAGCATTAAGGTGTGAGATCAAGAATATGCTTAATTAAAGGAAATTTTGGGTCATGTAACAGTACAGATCATGACCTGGAGAGAGCCACTTTTTGTACAGGCCACCTCCATTTTATAAAATAAATGTATAATGTAATGAAAACCACTATTAAAACTTATTATTCATCATGTCTGAGGAGCTTGGATGTGTACAGAACCCAGACAGAACACTCAAGGATGCTAGTGAAATTGTTTTCACTTATTCTAGAGAAGCTTCCCCTGTCAATCTCTCAGCCCTGCTTCTAGATATCTATACTTCCACTAGTATTCATTCACAAACAAGTACAGTTGATAATACATCTCTACTAAAGGATCCTACACATAGTAAAGCACCAAAGTTGAAGCATTAAAAGCCCCAGAAATTGGGCAAGCAATCTAGTACAGTAGTTGTAAAGACTCAGTAGTGTGTTACATACACTTATAAAGATAAACTAGAGATCTTAGACTTTACAGAGAGGCCTGGAAAATCCTTATCTTAAGAGAAAATTGCTGAGCACTTCAGAGACTACTTTTCTAAGCTGTACTAGTCTTCTGTGTATACTATCATTCAAAATGTAACACATATTTGAGAGGTAGTCCAAAAGAATCCTAATCAAATCTTCTACAAATGTCTACTTTCCAAGTCTGTAATGTATTCACAACTTGAAGAGGCCCTCAATCTTTTCATTTTGATAGTACAAGACTGTCTCAGGATTACAGGAGCTGTTTTAAAACTGAAGGCTGAGCAGTTTGCTGAAATGCTTAGAATACTAGAGAGAGAATGTCTTAAACTATCAAATGGATAGGTAGACACATACAAGGAACACAATGGAATTAGAGAGTACAAGCTGTATAGGGAAGTAGCTTCTGTCTCAGCTCAGACTATATCTGAAGTCTAGAACTGTCTTCAAGCTAAGCTATCAAGCTATGAACCTTAAGATATTTACAACTTTGATAAGACAGGTCTTTACTATTGTATGCTACCTGATTGTTCACTTGCTACAAAGCAGCTCTCTGGAGGCAAGGGAGATAAAACTCATATCTCTCTTAGCTTTATTACTAATACTAATGGATCTGATATAAGAGGTCTATTGTTTATTAGGCATGCTTGAAAACTATAATGTTTTAATAAGAAGGAGGGTTTAGCACTTGGATTTGAATATTATTAGAATAAGAAGGCTTAAATGACAAGTTCTATATTTCAATTGTGAGTATAGGGAACTTTATACACATACATTCCTTATATTAATGTACTCTACAGGTTCCTAGATAAGTTGGACAGGGACATAGGCTAGTAAAAGCAGAAGATTTGCTTGTTAATTAACAATACCCCTTCATATATCTTTGACACAAAGAAACTCAAGAACACTAAAGTTGTATTCCTTGACCCAAACATGACTTCCCACATCTAACTAATGGATGCTGGGATTATTTGTGTGTTCAAAGCTCACTACTACTGTCTGTACATTCTTGAATCTCTTAGTTAATATAAAGAGGGTGCTGAAAACATATATGTTGAGAGGGAAAACTTAAGGGGGGCACACATAAACAAGGGGTGAGGTGACAATTGACTACTCAGTGTCTCTTGTCCTTATATTGTATGTATTCTAACTGAGACATTATGAAGTCATTGTCTTATGGTTTGTCTGTTAATGAACTAATCATCTTATAATAATATATTTCATCAACCAGCTTGAAGGAATGTGTCTCTCACTTAAGGCTTGGGAAAAGATTACTCTAGAGACAGTAGTAAACTGTTAGAAGCATGCTAGAATACTTCAGGCAAAGGATATGTCTCAGGAGGTAAGCAATTTGTTTTTCTTATACTCTCTATCTGTAATCTCACAATTGTACAGGATACAGCTATTCCTATCAATCCTATACTCTAACAGTATACTACTAGAGTCACTCAGACTATCTCTGAGCTTTCAGCAGCTCTGGAGGAGGTTAAATTAAATAGTAGAACAGTACTAGTAATAAACATTCCTACAGTAGAAGAACTCCTCAACATACTAGACAAAAAGATTACTAAGGCTGAGTAGACTGATGAGGAGATATTGGAGCAGGTTGAGTATGATAAGAAGGAGTCTATTAGTGAGCATATCCTAGAGCTTGAGGCTCTAGAGTCAGAGCCAGAACTACTCATTAGTTATACAGAGACTGTCTAATTACTTTTAAAGCTTAATATACTCTTTCAGAGTAAGATTAGTACTAAGTTTACTAAGGTTAGAGCACTTTTTCCAAAGCTTACAAGAAACCTATACAAGAAAATAAATAGTTCTCTTAAACAGACTAATATTCAGTTGTTTTTTAAGTAGACAATGTATTATTAAGTTATGTACTACAAATAAGGAATTTTTATTACTTTACTTAAGCTACTATTAACAAGCATAACCTCTTATTAAGTATAGCCTCACCTGTTCACAGTGGGTTATACTTAATGACAGGTTTTACTATAGTCTGAACTTTGTGTATGATAGAAAATCTCTATCTAGTATATAATTAAAGTAATAGAATTCTTTATAATACAAAATCAGCTTCTGTTTATACTAAAATAATTAAAGTCTTTAGAGAAGAGTATATAATTGTAAGCCTACCTAACAGCTTACAACAGTTTCTGTACAGTTCTACACCTGTCCTAGTATGAAACTATGTTTCCTGTATACAGATTCTTACTACTAAGTTATACACTTTTTCCTTTGTACTTGTATCAAGTCCTCCTTTTATTATAACCACCTTCCCTACATTCCTAAATACATACTATCTCCTTTTGTCTTTCCCTTTAAGTATGTATCATACCCCCTCTTTTTTGTTCCCCCTTTTATTTTCCCCTTTAAGTATGAACCATTTCCTTAGTATATATAGTTAGTATCCTTTACCTTTATTGTATTAGTTTGTATTCCTGACTGTAACAAAGATACCTTTGTCCTGTCAGCCTTTGTGTGTTACTACAAACTCAGAACTTGTTTGTAACAGTGTTTAACACTTTCCTAGTACTGTTCTACTTTTTTTTTAACATTAACAAAGTAGTCTTTATTGTACTATATATTAGTAAGGTTCCCCTAGCCTTCCTAAATGTCTCCTACTGTTAGTAAGGTTCTCTAACCTTCCTGAACACTCTCTACTGTTAGTAAGGCTCTCTAGCCTTCCTAAATACACTACTATAGCTCTAAAGTAAGTTCAGCCCTCTTCCTAACTGTATATACAGTAAAACCTCTCATTAAGTATTACCCTTAGTAGACATAAAAAGTAATACTTATTAAGAGGTTATGCTTATTAACAAGTAAAATTCTAGTGTCTACAAGAGTAATAGTAGACCTGAAATGTTATACTTAATGAGAGATTATGTTTAACAAGAGTAATACTTAATGAGAGGTTTTACTATAACTAGGTCTTGTTTCCCCTAGTACTAAGTATTCTTAGAAGCTGTTACAGTTACTCCTCTATTAACTAGAGAATCTGTATTCACTTCTCTAACACTGTTACTATTTATAACTACTCTAAGCTCAGATTCAGAGAGTAGCTCAGAGTTATTAGAAGTAGATAATAATATAAGTAAGTCTACTCTAAGATACTAGAAAGCTATAATGTTCTAAACTATATCTACTAAAGTCTAGCTAATCTGGGAGAATGCTACAAAGTCTCTAATTTGACTCTAGACAATCTAACACTATATACTCTTTAGTTATAGATTTCTACATTCTGTAAGTATATGTTTATCAAATCTGTTCTTGTAACCTGTATAGTTACAGTTATAATAGGATACTTACAGGACAGTAGACTGTACTAATAGTACAAGTATAACTAGCTTAGGCTTGAGGGGCTTATACTGGACACATTCTATCAGGAGCTCTAGTACAAAATACTCTCTATAGACTAGGTAGAGTAAACCTAGAACAAGTTGCTCACAACACAGTAAAACAGTTGTAACTTTTAGGAATGACAGTTACAGGTTACTAGAATAAATTTCAGTCTCCCAGAAGATAGGCACCATGATCCTGACAGGCTTTACAAGCTTCTCAAGACTAATTTACACTCTAATCTTTAGTTTAAGCTCTGTCTTACTATTAAGACAAGACTATACAAGAGTATATCTCAGATAATATAAACTATATTACAAGTAATAACAAGTAATGATAGAATACCTTCTATCATACATCCTACATCTGAAACATACCTACATAGTATATATAGACTAACTAATTAACAGACAATAAAGCAAGTTGTGAGAGAGTAAACTAAGTCTACTATCCTCCCTCTTTGTGTAATCCCTCTAAGTCTCTCTTATAACCTCCTTTCAATAGGTTATAAGTCTTGTACTCCCTACTTACACTTTATCTACACTCTACTATGTCTATACTCTATACAGTTCTATACATTACACACATGTATACAGTATACTATAATGTAGAACTTGACACACCTGTCTGAGTATTCTAAATACAAATTAATATACTACAACCCAGACATTATATGATTATTGTCTTAGTGACTATGATTATTAGCCTAGTAATAACAAAATCTATATAGGCAATGTTGAAACTATAATGAGTATCACTTACTGTGACAGTTAGTCACTAAAATACTCTATAATATTATAGAGATAATATTATTATAAATAACTGTTCATACTATAGACAAACATTAAAAAGATTGAGAAAGCAAACACTACTCATCCACTACTAACATTACAATAGTACAAATGATTGACACTGTCAACAAGTACACATATGTTATAGTATAAATCAAATAATAACATATATAGTAATATTACAGTCAAACAATTAATGCTCAAAACAAGTACATATATACTAAACAGTATATTAAATCAAATAACTAAAACATTTAATATGTATTATAAACAATAATACAATTGTAGACACTATAACAACAACAATAATAACAATAATAATAATAATAATACAGATAGAACTAATAGAACAAATATGGAACAATAAAATAATTAATACATATTATAGTCAAGCAATTATTATGAAACACATTAGATTTAGCAGTTACATGTCAGATATTACAATTACTTATCAGATATCAAATATAATATGCATATCTAAGATATACAGACAAGTACAAATATGCACAAGTATAATAAATAACTACAAACCAAAAAACAATACTACAGAGCATATAAACTAACTACACACAAAAGAATAATGTTATAATGTGTAAATACTAACTACAGTACAAGACAAGTACAAAATTATAATTATTAAACAAATGATACTACTTTACACATTACTGCCTTTTTCATAAGTATTGTCACACTTGATGATTCATCATTTTTTGTCACAAAAGTAAACAAAACAAAAAATAAGCTATTTCTCACTCAATTCTGTACAGAATT